GGAAGAAACGTGGTGTTCTCTGTGTAGAGGGTGGACATGTCCATATCTCTATGCCCATCTCCTGGGGAATTCACCTGCTACGACGGACGTTCCAGCAGAATCCTAACCCACTGGTGCCTGGGGTTGCCCACCTAAGGGCCATGCTGGTAACTTGACAGGAGCCCCAGGGCTGTGCCTAATTGGCATGAAACAGAACAGATTGCAGTGGCAGTCATTGCTCATGTGGAGGTGCAGCCTGTGTTGGTGCAGGTCCCGGCATGCCAGGCCCATCTGGATCTAGATGGAGAGCTACCTGCTGGGCTTGGCTCTCGGGCTTGACTCTCCACTGCCTGGCATCCCATGTAGCCATTCCCCCTGAGCAAAATGAGTGGGCAGGGGATGTAAACACTCCTGTCCAGATCTGTGAGCATCTGTGCTCATGTTATGGAGGGGTAAGGTGCCAGGCAGGGTAGGAGCAGGGCTGATGTCTCCAAGGTCTGCAACCTGTATCCAACATGAAAGCAGCCGGGGGCTTCCCTGTGGAGCTCCCCAGACGGCATCTGACCCATTGGCTGCAGTTTGGCCAGTCTGTGCACTAGGAATTGCATTTCGGTAACAGTTCCAGGGTTCACTGCCCTGTCCAGCCCCACGGATTCCCTGAGCAAAATATCCCCAAGGGGAAGCTGCCATGCTCACAATCATTGGCTTTGGCAAACTGTCGCGACTTCCAAACCACTGCAACGGGCCCATTTCAGCGAAATTTGCCTGTGAAGTATCACACGATTGCTTGATTTCACAGCCCTAGTTCGTGGGCACAGCAGGACTTTGCAAAGAACCCAAACATGCCTCCGTTCCACCCAGCTGCTAAACTGCCATGTTGGAAAAACACAGTCCACACTGCCTTGCAAATCACTGAAGCAGAGAAATGCCAGGCTGGAAGGGACCTCAGAATCTCATCAAGTCCAGTCCCTTGGGCTTGCAGATCAGGTAAACCTGGGCCAACCCTGACAGGTGTTTGTCCAGCCTTTGCTTAAAAACCTCCAATGATGAGGATTCTAGAGCCTCCCTTGGAAGCCTGTTCCAGATCTTAACTACCCATAGCATTAGAAAGTTTTTCCTAATACACCTCTACCCCGATATAACGCTGTCCTTGGGATCCAAAAAATCTTACTGCGTTATAGGTGAAACCACGTTATATCGAACTTGCTTTGATCTGCCGGAGTGCGCAGCCCCGCCCCGCTGGAGCGCTGCTTTACCGCGTTATATCCGAATTCGTGTTATATCGGGTCACGTTATATCGAGGTAGAGGTGTATCTAGTCTGAATTTCCCATGCTGCAGATTAAACCCATTACTTCTTGTCCTGCCTCCAGTGGCCGTGGAGAACAATTGATCACTGTCCTCTTTGTAACAGACCTTAGCATATTTGAAGCCTGTTGTCAGGTCCCCCCTCAGTCTTCTTTTCTCAGAACTAAACATGCCCAGTTTTTTTTAACCTTTCCTCATAGGTCACATTTTCTAAACCCTTCTAAGGCCTGGTCTACACTAACACCCCAATTCGATCTAAGGTACGCAACTTCAGCTACGTGAATAACGTAGCTGAAGTCGACATACCTTAGTTCAAATTTACCGCGGTTCAGACGCGGTCCACACGCGGCAGGCAGGCTCCCCCGTCGACTCCGCGGTACTCCTCTCGCTGAGGTGGAGTACCGCAGTCGACGGCGAGCACTTCCTGGTTCGAATTATCCCGTCCAGACCAGACGCGATATATCGAACCCGGAAGTTCGATTGCCAGCCGTCGAACTACCGCGGTAGTGTAGACATACCCTAAGCCTAAATGTGCCACTCCATATTGCAGAGGCTTCTGATGACATGTGCCTGACTCAAGACCAATGACCATCAGACCATGCTGTCCTCCACAGACTGTTGTTTAGGGGACACTTTGCTTTGGGATATTGTTGGGAATGAACCCTGGGTTACAATATGGAGCCCAGTGCCTCCCTACTAGAGGTACTGTATTGCTGTCCTGCATCCTAATGAACATCTAACATTCAGTGTAATGCTCCCAACCTCTCCCACGCTGCTGCCATGTTTATCTGAGGTGGTTTCTCTCCCAGGCTGTCTCTGAACAGGAGCACTAGGAAAGCTTCCCGTCTTTTGGCTGCGCCAGCAGAATTCTTGGCTTCTCCACTCCATGTCATTCCCATCAGGATTACAGCTCTCCCTTCCTTGGCATGGTGATTAGTGTGATTTATTTTTATGGGGAATATTATGGGCCCATAGGCATATGGTGTGACACAGGCACGGAGCTTACATCCCTGCTCACTAATTGCTTGTAAAAGTCTTAGCTGTTGCATGCAGGTCCAGTGCTGCTTCTGAAAGTGGTTCCGCCAGTGAGTTCTCTTTCTGTCTTCAGTTCGGGGCTCACTGTCCCTAATTGGATATGTTTTGCCTGGGATTCTACTCGGCTTCCTGGTTCTAAATGACTTCAAGGTGCCAGGCTGGCAGCACTGGAGACTGAAGTTCCATTTGGTGTCACGTGAGCAGCAAGAATTGCCGTTGTATTGAAATCACCCCATCGTGCAAGACATTGCATGTAAACATGTTAAGAGATCGTCCCTGCCCAAAGAGTTTACCATCTTAAATAGGCAAGACAAACAAAAGAAGGATTATGATCTCCATTTGGCAGATGGGGAACTGAGGCACAGAGAGACTAAGGGACTCTCCCAAGGTCACACAGGGAGTCTGTGGCAGAGCTGGGCTTGAACCGAGGTCAGCCATGTTTTAGTTTGCCTCCTTAACCACAGGCCATCAGTTCTCACCAGCTAGCTTATCTACACACCCCACCTGCCTAACATACCTCAGACATGAACTGGAAGGACAGCTTCTAGAGATGAGAGCGGAATTCAGCCTCCAAAGCCCGGTCAACTCTTGGTCTGTCTGTCTGGGAGGTGCAACAAGGTCTTAACTTCTCGTTTTAGCTGGAGGGCCCTCTAGAAGACTAGAGAGTTGGGGTGGGAAGTTTCTCAGTTATAATGGTAAGGATGCTGAATCTTTCACAAAGGTCACATCCCTCCCAAGGTCTTGGTTGGGTGTTAGAGTTATAAAGGTATTAAGATGAGCTAACAAAACAGCCTGACTAAAAATCCCTTCCTCTCTGTTGCTCAGCTTTCACACTCTTGTGATGTCATCATTTCTCCGGTTCTCCAAGGAGTCCTCCAGCAGAAAACAGACAGCCTTGTAATTCTGTATGAAAACAGACAGGACAATCTCCCAGGACTTCTTTTGGCCTCTTGTTCTCCATGCCCTCTTTCTAAGGGGCGCCATGCCCTGCCAAACAGTGTGTTATTAGCATCCCCATCTTCTTCCAACCCTCCCGTCTCCCCCAAATCCTCTTGGATGACGCTGACATTTTAACCTAACATTACATTCGTTCCTGAAATTCTAGTGACAGCCAGACCGTGTTGGAGAGGGGACGGGAATGATCTCGCAAGTTATGTGAGAAATTAATTAGTCACAGACAGATGATGTTGATACCTTCTGTAAGCCTGATTTATTTCCATGGGTGTCTGTTTTTGGAAAGCTGAATATGTTTGGCTAAATATAATATAGCAGATAGTTCCTGGCGAAGATGATCATGCTGCAAACACAGAATCCAATGGAAACGCATTAGGCTGATAAGTAGAAATCTAAAAGATTTGGGCAACCAATTCCCCAGCCTTATGTTTTCATGCCACAGGTTGGTTGGTTGTTGGTGTTTTCATGCTGGGAGTCAGATTCATCCCACATGAGCTTGGTGCTGGGATCAGGGAAGTGAGAGTGGACAACACTGGCTTTATGTGGAGGCTGCTAGGGTCCAGTTCATCTCCTGCATCGTCTGCAGCTTAGAGCAACCTCCAGGGCTTCCCTGGTTTGTGCCCCCTAAGGCAGCTGGGAATAGCCAGGGTGCTGGCCATATTTCCCTCCCCCAAAGAAACGCTCCTGCCTCTTTGCCAGGAACTCCTGTGGGAGGCATCCTAAAGCCAGCTGCGCTTGCTGGGGTTTCCCCACTATGTTGGAAGAATTCTGCAGGGGGCCCTGCTGAGGGAAAGAGAAGTACGACCCAAACTCAGGGGTCGGTGCAGGGCTCACAGTCAGGTTCTGGACAGAATTTTGCAGCAGACTCCTTGTCCCTCTGAGTGGCTGGAACTCTGAACTTTGGCACCAGCAGCCCAGATCCTCAGCTGGTGTAAATCAGCATCATTCCATTGAAGTCAATCGATCCTCACTCGTTTCCACCAGCTGGGGAATCTGTTCCATGGGGCAGGGACGGTTCTAAAACCAAACTTCCCAGCCAGCTACTCTGTCTGCCGTGGGCTGAATCAGACTTCAGATCGATACGCCTTGGGGCACGGAGGGGTGGGGAATCTGTGGCTGGATTTTGCTGCTTGGAACGATGACTGACGGTGCCCAACAGGGAGATGCAGCCCTGATGCTGCTGCAAGGCTTGTTAGGCTCTTTGCCAGTGTCCACACTGCCGAGGGGGTGAGTTACCAGTCCACCGGAAATGGCTCCTGGGCTCTAGCCGACGCCCCCAGCCTGTCCAGCTAGCCTGGGTTGAAAGTACCCCCACCCCAGGGGGAGAGGGTTTTGTGTGTGGACAGCCCCCTACTAAGAGCCTGAGTAAACTTCGCAGTGAAGACATACCGTGGAGGATCAGAGGCCAGATTTGTTTTCCAAATGAGCAGGAGCAAGTGGCTGCTGCCATCCAGAAGTACACTGTGCACCCACCCATCCTTGTAGGCCTGGGACAGCTGGTGAAAAGACATCTGAGCAGGGCTTGCTACACCCCCAGGATTGGCAGTTGCCCGGCAGGGATGTCAGCTTTGGGGAGGAGCCAGTGTCACACATGAAATACTCCAGCCGTACTGGGAGGATTTCTCTCTCTCTCTCTCTCTCTCTCTCCGCCCTTTGCTCAGTGCCTCTTGCAGCCCCAGCCTCAGGTTGCTGCGGGAAGACTCTTTTCTTAGCTTTTCTGGGAGTGAAGTGCGCCAGGCAGACGAGCCCGGCTGGTGCAGGGGAGAGATCGGAGACGGGAGAGACTTGGGGAAGCAAAAGTGGACTTGATTTGAAAGAAAAAGAAAGAGAGTCTCCTCTTTCTCCAGCGTGTAAGTACTGGCTCTTCCCCTTGTGCGGTTTCATTTCACCAACATTTCAATGTAAACAGAGCAAAGGTACGGCAGAGTGGGGTTTGCTTTTAAAGGAGCAGTTCCCCTTTTATATCCCTCTGGCTTCCCAGCACAGCTTCCTCGGTGGGGATTATTGATCTCTTGGTGGCATGCTGTACTTTGTGGGAGAGGGCATGAGGGTAGTTGGGGGCCAGGGGTGGGAGATCAGAAACAGGCAGATCAGCTTTATGCCAAATGTAGCAGTAGGATATTCTGGTCTCCTCCTTGGCAGAAGAGATTCCTGTGTGTGTTTTGGTTTTGATGCGGGGCATTTAGGAAGCCTTGTTCCCCCTCCCCTCCATCACGCCTTTCTCCAAAACCCAGAGGAGTTTGCTCGCAGGGCACGATATTGGCCCATCTTTGAAGGAAGCCGGCCGGCTGGGAGAGGAGGGGAAAATCTGTTGCCTCCAGTATGAAACTTTGCCAGGCTGCTGTTAGGAGGAGATGACACTGAAGTCTCGGTGTGACATCTGTTCACGTGCTCAGGCGGGGGACGTTCTCCCTGGATGTGTGCATTCCCCTCACGCTGCACTTTTTGTGGCTGCCAGTATCCTTTGCATCTCGCTGTAGCTCTGCCACATTCCCAGATATGTGGGGAAGTTGCCCCCTAAGTGTTGCTTCCTTCAGCTCCCTCATCATCACCGCCCTCATCGCGGGTGGGGAGAAGTTAAGACCAGGTGGTTAATGCCTGCAACCCAAATCCTTGCCATGCCAGGACTAGAATTGGTGCCAGTGATGCTTTAACCAACTGGCCCGTCTCTGTATGGAAACAACCCAGAATGAGCGGTGCCGACAGACTGGCACAATGGTGGCATTAACTCTGAAAGGGAAGAAACATCAGCCTCCAGCCTGAGGCTCCGGCTTTGTTTGTGTGTCTGTGAGGGGGTGGGGACGGCACTCTGCACAGGCAGCAGGCAGAGGGTTAATGGAACGGCAGTGGGCTTTGTTAAAGTTGAGGAGTGGTGCGTATGGATGGAGCCCTGGCTGCTGCAGGGTAACCAGTGGTTCTGGTTCAGTTAGACTGCTGGGCATTTTCAGTGGCAACGTGGTTTGGGCAGAGCAGAAAAACAAACCACAGACTGAATCTGTGATAAATGCGAAATGGGGCGGCTTTCCATCCTCGGGTGGCTGTGAAAAGGCTCCTGAGAGGCCACCAAAAAAACCCAATTAGCTTGAAAACAGTTACCTGCTGCAAACGCCAGATATTTAGACTCACTAATCATAATTAGCACTTTTCCCTCTTAGCTCTCTAAGCACGTTTACAAGCTGGGTAAGTAGCATCATTCCCCGAGTATAGGAAAGTGAGGCACATAGGAAGTGACATGCCCAAGGGCTTGCAACAAGTAAGTGGCAGAGCTGGGAATAGATCCCAGCTCTCCTGACCCCTAAGCTGGGGTTCTGTCCACTAGGCAATACCGCCTCCCTGCTGCATGACTAGAGATCAGAACCATCCACTCTCCTGATAGGTCACTCTGCCAACTGGCACAGTGAAGGCCCCTTTGGCACTGGTCCTGTCTGCGTGCTGGAGGGTTTTGCCAGTGTGGGTGAGAGGAGTGGTGCCAGCTCACCTGGCCAGTAAGGGAGAAGTACTTTCCAGGGACTGCTGCCCCTTGCTGGAGGGGGTTAGAGATTTCGCAGACATGCCTCCACTGACTGACTCGAGTTTGTCTTCTGTGTGAGATGCGCAAGCAACTGTAGGCCTGTGTTAGCCTACGCACCCAGGAGTGCCACGTCACCACTCCTGACTCCCCAGCTCCAACCTCACAGGCCCGGTGACAGGTGAGGAGGGAACTGGATGGGGCTCTAGACATCTTACTTCACATAGAGTCTTTCAGACACTACAGCCAACCCCACTGAGGCGTGTGAGGGGTGCTGGGTGGGGCAGCATATGGGAAGGATCAGAGAGTAACAGGATTGATTTGGGCATAGGAGAATGTAGGCACCATATCAGGGAAATTTCCTCAGGGTGAAATCCGTTAAACAGTGGAATAATCTCCCCAGTGAAGGCTGGAATCCCCCTTATTAGAAAAGAAAGGAAGGTCTTGTGGCTAAAGAACAGGAGTCAAACGATCTGGATTCTATTCTTGGCTTTGCCACAGATTCCCCCTGGGACCTTGGGCCACTCACTTAACATCTGTGCCTCAGTGTCTTCATCAGTGAAATGTGACCTTGCATCGCTCCGTGAGGTTTGCTCATTCGGGTCTGCACTGAGCATTGAGATGCTAGCATGGAAGGTGCTTTGGAAGCACAGAGTATTATTTTCAGTGTTGTATTTTTTGTGAAGGCCACTTTCACTAATTGGCCACTCTTTTAGGTCCCTTGAATGGAAGCTAACGACAGGTTTCACTGGATGGAGTGTGTAGTTATTGTGTGTCATGTTCATACATTATGGGTGATGATAGTGCAGTAACCATGCACCCTGGCTTCTGAGTTGGCTGTTTTAAATTTGGCTAATGTATTCCAGATGTATTTATGATGGTAATGGTTAGAATCCCTCTGAGATGGGGCCATATTGTGTCAGGCACATACCCATAGTGAGAGAGAGTCCTTGCCTGAAGTTGTTTACAGTCTAAATAGACAAGAGAAGGATTATTAGCCCTATTTTACAGATGGAGGAACAGAGATGAGGTGACTTGCCCAAGGTCACTCAGGGAGCTTGTGGCAGAGCTGAGAACTAAGCCCCTGAATCCCAGACAATCCTTCCACTTTTTGTGTCACAGGCAGAGCCCTGGCCACCTGCTGAAAACAAAAGTTATAGGTTTATGTGCACATGTGACACTGGGTGGACTGCAATCACTTCACAGACATCATGTTTGCATTGAAGTTTTCAGGCTGCAGCACGTTTCTGAGTCCATCGGTCCTCACTCTGGCCTTCTGGAGACAGATGAATCATTCATTACAAACCGTGGAACACTCTTCTGGCTTCATTACACACCTGAAACTTGGGGCAGGTTGTCTGAGAAAATCTCGACGTGTCCAAATAAATATTTGAGCTTCCATGGTGCTGTATGTGCAACAGCATCCTCACAACCTCCCTTTGAGGAAGGTTTCCATTTCACAGATGGGGAACCTGAGATATGGAGGCAAAGTGGAATTGATGGTAGAGCAAGAACGCTGGGCACCTGACTCCCAGCCAGGGCCGGCTCCAGGCACCAGCGCAGGAAGCAGATGCTTGGGGCAGCCAATGGAAAGGGGCAGCACATCCGAGTCTTCGGCGGCAATTCGGCGGTGGGTCCCTCGGTCCCTCTCGGAGGGAAGGACCTGCCGCCGAATTGCTGCCGAAGAATGAAGCGGCGCGGCAGAGCTGCCGCTGAAGTGCCACCAATCGCAGCTTTATCTTTTTTTTTTTTTTCTTCGCCGCTTGGGGCGGCAAAAAAGCTGGAGCTGGCCCTGCTCCCAGCCTTGGGCTCAGTCCTCCAGGCCACTCAGAACTCTCAAAAAGGTCTGAAACGCAGTTTTGCTCTGAGTTATTGGTGCATCAGCTCCACCCCCCTGCCAAAAGTCATCCCAAAGCCTGCAAACTGACATTGCCTTGATTTGCATCCAAGCATCTCTAATGTTTAATAGGCATCTAATTTTAGAGGTCACTTGGCTCCTTTCAGCAAATGGCATCCCGGCGGGGATCTGCCTGTTGAATTTGTCTTCTTATCCCTTCCTGACTAACTCACTGCTGCTGGAAAAGAAACAGAAAACAAACCACCACCTGTTGGTTGCTGTAGGTGCAAAGGCCCGGATTGCAATCTTGCACGCAGTTAGCTCTGCAGAGACAATCTCTTCCCAAATACAGCATCCTGGTCACGCTCTTTCTTTTCCAATCAAGGTTCCTTTTAAGGTAGCATTTCCCCTGCAGCCAAAGTTGCTCCTCTGCTCCCCAGTTGCTTAGCCACTCACAGCCCTCGCCCACACCACTGGCCTGCCACCCTTGCTGGAACAGAAGCTGGAGTGAAAATTACTTTCAGACAGCTGTGAAAAGCGATCAAGCTTTAGACTGTAAGGCAAATCTACACTGATGCCTCCTTGCTGCTGTGGTCTCTGCTGTCTCTTGCTTTTCTTCTCTCTCTCCTTCTTTTGTGCAGGCCAGTCTTGTCGATTTCCCGGTTGCAATTTGAGATCGGTATTCTGCTATCTTCTGCATTTTCTAGCTGTTTTTAGAGACCGGCTCAGACGCAGATATGCAAGTGCTCAGCAATCACAATCAGGGCCAGATTGTCTAAAGAACTCAGCTCCCTCTAAGGCACCTAAGCAAGAGCCAGATTTTCAGAAGTGCTCAGCACCCAGCTGCGGCCATTGGGACACTTCTGGGTCCAGATTTTCCAAAGAACCCAGCACTCAACGCACACCCAGCGTGCTGAATTCTCCTGCAAACCTGGCCCCTTGGATAGGTGCCTGAGAGGCAGCTGAGCTCTCTTGAAAGTTCTGGCCTATGGGCACCGCGCATAAAATGGTCCACATCTTCTAACACGGGGCTAGTGCTTTTGGCTGCATGATTCCTAGAGAGGAAGGATGGTCCAGCGGTTCAGGCACTAGCCTAGGACTTGGGTTCAAGTCCCTGCTCCACCGCAGTCTTCCTGTGTTACCTTGACTACATCACTGAGCCTTTCTGTGCCGGCTCCCTTCTGTACAGTGGGAATGGTAGCACTTCCCTATCTCACAGGGGTGTTGTGAGGATAAATACGTTTAAAGGACAGTGTGATGTCCAGATGCTATGGAAACGGGGACCTATGAGGACCTAGAATAGTGAGAGACACTGTATTAGGGGCTGGTTTTCAGAGTGTGGGTGCTCAGCACTTCCTGAAGATCAAGCCCCTTTAAAGTATCTCAAGTTGGGCACCAGCGGTTGAGACAGCCCAAATCACGAGTCACTTTGGAGTTTTAAAATGCGTAGCTCGCCACTGCTTAGAGGGACAATGTGGTGGTAGGCGATAGAGTAGCTCTAAGGC